TAGTTGGTTAACCATCCAACTCTTGATTTCAGCTCAGGTCATGATCGCAGGGTCCTGGAATCGAGCCCCGTGTTGGGCTCCGCACTCATCAGGGAGTCTGCTTGAGATTCTATCTCCCCCTCTCTAAAAAACATTTAAAAGTAAAAATAAATAAATAAAATCCACTTGGAAACTTCCCCTATCTCTACCCCCACTCCAAGATATAAGCTAGCAATCATCCTTCAAACATATGGCCAAGGATATACATCAGTAGGGTCTCCTGAACCTCCTCTTAACAGCAGCTAGCCCTCTCAAGGTCCTGGAAGCCTTGCTTCCAAATTCCTTAGAGACTTACACTCTCCCTAATCCCCTAACTAAAAAGTATATCATCAATCACTCCTCACAATCCCCATACAGCTCTTCTGCCCACAAGGTCCTGTCCCCATGCTGTAATAAAACCACCTTTTTTTTTAAGATTTATTTATTTACTCATGAGAGACAGAGAGGCAGAGGCACAGGCAGAGGGAGAAGCAGGCTCCATGCAGGGAGCCCGACGTGGGACTCGATCCCGGGACTCCAGGATCACTCCTCGGGCCCAAGGCTGCACTAAACCACTGAGCCACCCGGGCTGCCCTAAAACCACCGTTTTTGCACCAAAAATGTCTCAAGAATTCTTTCTTGACCATTTGCTCCGGGACCCCAATATCATATCAACTCAAATTCCTCCAGTCTCTCTGCCCCACCTTGTGCAACATGGGCCTCATCCTCAGTCTCCACTCTGTGCCCTTCCCCATCTTAGGTCACCCAAGATTCTTCACTCAGGGTGTCAAGATGGCTGCAGCAATTCCAGACCTCACAGCTTCATGCCAGAACATCTGCAGGTGGAGAGGGAGCCCTTTCTGTGGCTCCTTCACATTCTGAGATACACTCTCTCATTGCCTATCCTGAACCAATCACGTTGGCCAGGGGGATGGGCTACACTGATTGGATTAGACTTATCAACCGCCATCCGTTTTCTCATCTATAATAACATCTGAGGGCTTATTATGTTCCAGGCCGTACATCACCCTTTCCATGGGCTGCCATGTTTAACCCTCATAAAAGCCATTCAAGTAAGCTACTAGCATTATCCTCATTTTGCGGATGAAAACATGACAGCTCAGAGAGGGTAGACACCTTGCCCAGGGTCACACAGCCATCACTCCGCACAGCTGCTGATTAGCAGCAGAAGCAAAAGCTGAAAGGGACCTGTAGGATTCTGGAACCTGAGCTCTCACCCCCGTGCCGGCCTATTGGGGGAGGGCGTCACCCAACAGCCCCCATCTGTTGTTATTCCACATCCAGTTGCTTTCTGGTGACCCAAATCCCTTCCTCAGGAGGAACTATTTTGGCCATAGAATCTCAGGCTTCAGACCGAGTTTACTCAAAAGTGCTGCTCCCACCTCTGGGTTCCTCTAGACTATTCTCCTCCACCTGATCTGTTTCCATGGAAACTGCTGGGCTCCTGCATCCCTTTTATCCTTCTTCCTGGGAAGCAAGGCCAGCTTTCTGGCACCCGGATAGCCAGGCCTGACCATTATAAAGACCAAAGAAGCCATACCTGGAAGAAATATTTCCAGGCAGAGAGAAGAACCAGATCGGGCTTCTGGTTTTCTCTTTGATGGGCTCCAAACTAACACCAGGTGCTCTGAGGAGCCCTGCCAATTATCTGGGCCCAGTGGGTGCTGGCTGCAAGGTTGTCATCTGTTCTCCAGCCTCTCACCACCTCACCGTCAGCAGACCTCCCTCCCTCCGGAAAGCGACTCTGGGGTCTGAAGCAGAGGGCAAGTCGGGCAAGCCTTCTTGCCAATCCTTGGCATTGGGTTGCAGCCCTCGAGGTGCAGCTGGCGGGCTAGGGGAGCAAAAAGGAGGATGGTACGCAATATTCCCCTTCTGGGGAAGGGGGGGCAGCCATCAGCTTGAACTCATGGGCATCCTGGAAACAGTGGCCATGGCATCACTCTTGGCCACAGAGAGGCTCCCTATGGCCAGGATCTCAGAAGCACTCTGCACACGCTGACGCTGGCGCTGGCGGGGCGGGAGGGGAGGAGGAACTCTTGTCACCTATCTGGTCTCCGTGGGCTGGAGGAGCTGCTGCTGCTGCTGCTCTCCGGGGAGCCAGGGGGTCCAGCACAGTGGAATGAAGGTTTTCCCAGAGCAGTTTTCAGCTCCACCCCGACTTCCTTCAACACCAAAGGCTGACCAGCAGGTATCCGGCTTCTGCTCTGCCCTTAAACTCGGTGCACCTTTCTGAGGAGGCACAGCCACCTCCAAAGACTGCAGAGAAGAGGAATGGGGTACAACCCTTCTAGGCACAGGACAGGACAGTGTGGGCCTTCAGACCACTCTAAGTCAGAAACAGCACCGCTTCTGTCTTCACATGGGGTCAAGACTCCAGAATTCTGCTCCAGAACTGGCTGGGCTTGTCAGAGTCCCCTGACTGCAGGCACTTGCCCGTGACCTGAAAGGGCCTTCTGGAGCACCCCCTCCCCAACAAAACATGTTTCAGAACAGCCACAAATGCTGCGCTCCCCAAAGGCTAAGGCTCCCTCCACGCTCCACTCCACAGCCTTCTCTTTGTAGAGCCCATGGCCTTGGTTGAAAGTGAGGGGGACAGGCTTAGTGAGTCCCTCAGACAGGAGGTGTCTGGCTTCTGTGGAGCAGCTTTACAAGTGGGGTACTCGGCCCTCTTCAGAACAACAAAAATTCCTCCTAACATCCTCTGTTAATATAATAACTACCTTTTAATCAAACACATACATACCACCGCCAGGATGCTTACTAGCTAACTTTTTGACTACATTATTTTTGGTCCTTACACTGACTTTGTGTGACCAATATTACTTTTATCACCTCTATTTTTTCCTAAGGGTCAAAGAGGTTAAAGAGCCTGCTCATAGCCTCACAACTACTAAGTGGAGCTTTCTGACCCCTGAGCAAAGCTTGTAACTCCTCAACATGACCGCTTCTGTAGTACCTGGCTTGGGGACAAAGGACAAAAGGACTTGCTTGGGCTTCACAGCCCTCTGTGTCTGAGATGGGCCCAGGGATGGGCTTCCCAGAAAGATTCCAATCATGCATCTAAAATGAATGATGCAGGGTTGTTCCAGCACAGAGGTGGAGGTCACTGTGGTCACGCTGCAGTCATACCCAGGACCTCCCCCGATCAAGGCAACATCTGCCCCAACCCCGACACCCAAGCCCTATCTCAGCTCGTCTGGAAAGTAGGAAGCAAGGAGATCTACTCGCTCTTCCTCACCAGGAAAACCAAAGCAGCCAGGTGGTGCTGGCTTTGGTCCTTAGAGAACCAGGGATGAGCTCTCTGGCCCCACAGATCTGGGCCAGGGGAGGAGCAGGAGGGGAGATGGAGGAGCCCAAAGGACAGTGTCAGAGCTGGAAGGGGCTGAGCGTGGCCCCCGCGGGCTCTGCAGCACTGTGGTGAAGAGCTTCCCCTCCGCCTCCCTCTGGGGCTGGCCCCTTCGGGAGCCATTCGCTACCCCAGGAGAGGGATGCTGGCCGAGGAAGATCTCGCCAAGCTAATCACTGCTGATCTCTGGCTCCGTGAAGGGCAGCGGGAACCTCAATGCATTTACACCTCACGACAATTCTAAGAGGTGAATACCCGCATTCCCATTTTGCAGAAGAGAAAATCTGAGACGCAGCTGGGTTATGTAATTTGCCCAAGGTCACCCGGCTTATTCTGGGATTCAGACCCGAGCACCCCGATTCCAGAGTGTCCCCGCTAAACCCCTGAGCCATCCTGCCGCCCGGAGGGCGGGGCAAGAGAAACCCCGGCAGGCCGCCAGGCAGCAGCGTAGGTGAATTTCCCAGCGGGGGACTCTCTGGCACAAGGGGGCGGGGAAGCCTTCAGTCCTCAAAAGCTGACCCTTTATGACTCCTCTCCCTCGTGTGTTCCTGCAAGAAACTCTACACACATTTGCTTCGAGCAAAGTCAAGTGCTTTGGGAACCTGCCCTCTGTTCTGCCCGCGAGGCCCGCTCGTGGCTTGTCCCCCCCTCTGAGGGGCCACCTTCCCCCCTCGGCCCCAGCAACCTTCTTTTGCCTCTCGCTTACCTCCTTCCCTCCAGCTCTCCTTTCCGCAGGCAGTTGGGCTAACGCTCATTAGCACGTGTTAATGAGCCTCAACTCCCTTCCCGGCGCTCAGCAGGAGAGGGAAGAAGGGAGGGGCTACTGCAGGGGCACCCGGTGCGCCGCCGGGCTGCAGGGGCGCCGCCTGCTGGGCCGAGCGGGGAGAGCGCCCGGTCCCGGGGTCCGGGGTCCCGGGGTCGCCGCAGCAGCGACTCCTGCTTGCTCTGAGACCCGCACGGAACATTCCCGGGTCAGCAGGGGCCGTCCCCGCGCTCCCCCAGGCGGACTCCCCCGATGTCCCAGTGGGTGCGTCCCAGTGGGTGCAGCTCAGACGTCCCAGTGGGTGCGTCCCAGTGGGTGCAGCGGGGAGGCGGCCCTCACTCCCGGAGCCCGTCCAGGGGCAGGCGGGCAACGGAGTCCCGGGGGGCATAGGGGAGGACGGAGGCCTCTGACCCTCCCTGGGTATCCCCATCCCCAGCCGCCCCAACGAAGCCTTGAGAACGCTTGGCCCATCCCCGGGGGCCGCGGGCAGGAGCTGGGTTCAAGTCCTCGCTGGGCCCCCTTGGCCGTTGGAAGGCTCCAGGCTCCTCATCCGAGAAGCGGTCCCCGTTCTTCCTGCTGCGGAGGGTGGGACGAGGCCTCGAACACGGCGAGGCGCGGGTGCCGAGGACCCGCGAGCTCCTCGTGGGATTGTGGGCGGCGGCTGCGCTCCGGAGGCAGCGGGGCGACCGGGCGGTGTCGGCGCCCACGGGCGCGCCCCCCGCCCCCCCCGCCGCGCCCCGGCGGATCCCCTGAGCGCGCGCGCCCCCTGCCGGCAGCCGGGCGCGGCCGCAGCCTCGGGAGCGTATATAAGGGCGGCGGGGCGCGCAGGACGGCCGAGCGCGGAGCCGAGCGCGGAGCCGAGCCGCGGGGACGACGCCGCGCTGCCGAGGTCGCCGAGCCGCTCGCCATGGCCAGCCCGCAGCCACAGCCGCCCTACCTGCACCTGGCCGAGCTGACGGCGTCCCAGTTCCTGGAGATCTGGAAGCACTTCGACGCGGACGGTCAGTACCCGTCAACTTCTGAGCCCGGCGGCCCGGGGCCGCGGCGGGGAGGGGGCGGCGCGGGCGCGGGGGTCCCTTTGCCGCGGGCGCCGTTTGCGGCCGCAGCCTGCCGAGGTCGCGGCCGCGAGCGGGGGGACGCCCGGCTGCCCGGCTGACGACTGCCAGCAACTTTACTCCTCCGACACCGACACCGACACCGACGGCGGGGAGCCCACCGGCTCCGGCAGCCTCGTTCCGGGCGAGCGGAGCCCCCGGGCGGGCCGGGCCGCCAGGCTCCCCACTCTGCCCCTGCCTTCCTATCTCCTCCGCCTTTCTCGTAAGGTAACGGCCTGCCTTCAGCTGCTGCAGCCACAGGTCTCAAAAGCCCACTTGCTTCTTTCTTGGGGTTGCCCTTTTAATGCCGGCTTAGCCCCCCTTCACTGTCCTGGAGGCTGGGGCCAGCCGGGGGATACTGAAGGGAAAGCCTCGGCGTCGCCAGACGTACGGGCTGGGGGTGGGAGTGGAGAGGGACGTCGGGGGCCCTGAACACCCCTTGGGCTCCCTTTGTCCATTTCCCATCCTCCCTGGACAAATGGGTCCCCTATAGAGCAGCAGTGGGTGTGGTGGGGCAGGGTTGGGGGACCATCTGAATCTGACATAGGCCCTCCTGGTGAGAGTCCTGGGTGCTTTCGGTGACACCATCTCTGGATTGGGGGCGGGGGACGCAATCTTAAATGCCTACTGAGACACTGACTCACCCAAAAATCAAGGGCTGGACTGAATGACCTTAGGACGCGTCTCTCAGTGCTGGTATTCCAAGAGCCTATAATGGTCTGACTGAGGGATAAAGAGCCCCCACCCACCCCTCTTTAGGAGCTTCTGATATCACTGAAGATGTTTTCTCCACCCCTCCAAAAAAAAATTAAGTGATCTAATTCCCTTCTCTGAGGTCCTGGCTGGGATGGGCACCCAAAATGTTATGACATCTCAGATCACTGGCAGGGCAGTGGTGTCGGGTGTTTATCCTGGGACTGACAGGGGTGGGGGGGATGGGAACCAGAGGAAGGATCAGTGGCGGCTCACTTAAATCCTTCCCTCGGCCTTCCTGCACCTGCAGGGCTACGCAGAGGCCCTCTGCCCAGAGGGCTTGGAGAGGCAAGGGTTAATGTCCAGTAAAGTTAACGAGCAAAGTTTTGCTCCCTTGGAGCCAACTGAGCTTGAGAGCCAGGCAGAGGACTAGGCCCGGCTGGGGCCGTGATCTGCCTGCAAATTACCGAAGGAGGTGGATAGATTGTTAAATCTGTAAAATGGGGCCAAGGAGGGGTGTACTTCCAATCCCCAGCTGGTGCCATAAAACTGCCTCAATGAAAAGGGCTGTAAGGTGCAGCCTCTTGGTACCCGGAGGACATGCACATTCCCTAAGGATGCATCTGCCAGTTTATCTGCACCAGAGACTTGCATGATTCAAGGAAAGTTACCAAGTGGCCAAGGTTATACTACCGGCCTCCTGCCAGATGAGTCAGCTCTAATAAACGGAGGACTCCGTAGCTGTACCCCTGGCCTCGTGGGGACAACCAATAGCACTCCCAATAATCCTGCAAATCCTTACATTTATCTGAGACCTCATACTGTTCAAAACACTGTCACACCTTCTGGAGCCCTGGTGAGGCTACTGGGCAGGCCATGATGTCTTTTGTGCAGATGAGGAAACAGGCACGAGGGGTGAGTTCTCGGAGGCTGGTTCTGGGCCAGTGTTCGTCCCCAAGTTTGGGGTCATACATTAAGGTTGGGGGAGGGGTTTTCCCATGATGATAGGTACCAGTTCCCCCCCACTTGCCCACAGAAGAGCCTCCACCACTCCCAGCCTCGGAGAGGATGAGCCTTTCCCCTAACCTCAGAAAGGGGTTCTTGTCTTGGCTGGAGCAAGGAAAGCTAAGTTAGCACTAGATGCAAGAGCCCCCCAAAGACCCCCAAAGCCATTGTGCCTCTGGGTCCCTCCTGCTCCGATGTGAAAGGAGAGCCGAATGCCTGCTCCCTGATTCCTCTTCCACACACCCCATCACCCTCTCTGGTCACTGCCTCAGGGAGGCCCCCAGGAGGAGCCACAGACCTCAGAGAGAAAGAAGACAAAGGGGCTTACAGTGCCAGAGATGGCACAGAAGCGATTCAGGAAAATGAGGATACGGCCAAATTGGAATTCCACTGAAGGACCAAGAACTAGGCTGTGGACTGCCTTGCTCTGTACCTACCCTGCCCAACCCCTCCTGCATTCCTAGAGGCGGCTGGGGTGCCCATCCCAATCCCCTGAGGTGCTCCCTGCCCTATCTGGGCCTCCCCCTCACCAACTCTGGCTTCTGTTTTCATCTTGGGGTTTTTTCCTGGTATGAAGTCCCCGTGCCACTTACAAACTTAATGAGCTCTGGGGCGACTTTCCCTTGCAGCCCACCAAGTCCCTGGAGCCCAGTTAGGCATAGCCCCCAGGGGACAGAACCACCGGCCCAATCCTCCTGGACCCTCTAGGAAACAAAGACAAGGCGACCTTAGGAGAAGCTGGATGCCAGAGACAGTGGAGATGGGGCAGGGGGGCCCTGACCCTAACTCAGCCCATTCCTCACCCAGAGAAAGAGTCATCCGGGTGACTTTGCCTTAAGAGTTAGATTCTTTTCACAATCATCAATCACTCTTGTGCAGAAAGAAGGAGTGGGTGTTTGGACAGAGAAAAACTGGGACTCAAAGAGGCAAAGTTCTTTCCACAAGATCACACGGCAAAGTGGGGGGGTGGTGGGGGCAAGAAATCCTATCTCCTAGTACCCTGCGCCATCCCTGGACTCTTCCTTGGCAGTCACTGAGGTCGTGCATTTGGGAGGGTTTGGGTGTCATCTCTCAAAGGCAGAGGTAGGGAAGACCGTAGCCAAGCCCACACTATGGCCTACATACCACCTCCATGCTCTGAGTGACCCTTACATGGCCCTATGTGTCTGAGTCCGCTGTCCAGGTGTTGCCCGGTCACCGCTTTGCCAGGAATGTCCTCCCTCTGCAGGATCCAAGCAGTGAGGGATGCCCAGCTCAGAGCTCACACTGTCCTGTCTAGGTGGTTCTGATCAGACGGGCTCCCAGGCTCCTGTTCCACCGATGACCAGTAGGAATTTCCATGGAGAGCCAAGGTGTGGCTCAAGAGGGAAAAGCCTTTAGGAGCCACTGCGATCACAGAGATAAGAGGGGTTCACTCCCAGAGGCCAGGGACATCCTGGGTCTAAGCAGGGGATGTCACTCATCCCCAGAATCTACCTGACATAGAAACACTCTCATGTGTACAAAAAGGTTATATGAACCGGGGCGTCTACTACCGAGTTCTTTGGAATACTGGAGATTTGAAGGGAAAGGTGCTTCACCAGGGAGCAGAAAAATGAATTATGCCATTCTCTACGGGGGAATATTATGCAGCCAAGCAGAGTGAGGTGGAGCATTTCCACCGATGTGCCCAAATGCCCGAGCTGTACTATTAGGATTTCTTTTTAATGGTAGCAGGACATGGTTACCGCATGAACCCATTTTCATTATTCACGAAACGCATACGCTGGAGGATACTTGAAACATGTTAGTAGGGAATGGAGAATTCTCTACTCTCTCTACAGAGTGGAGGAGGTAAAATTAAAAGGCATTTGCTTTTACGAAGTTGATTTCTGTAGTGTTCGAAAATTGTATAAGAGCTTCTGTTTCTTGTGTGAATCTGCAAAACAGTAACGAGGTAAAAAGAGATACATCTCCGGGTGTGGGAATCTGCCCAGACTCTTCGGGGCGTTTGCCTGCCTCCGGGTGGCCCTGGTGATGCAGGGAGGGAGCCCGGGCCCTACCTGTGGGGACCTCAAGACCTTTGCAAGTTAGACCCTCCTCTGTCCTCCTACACCCCATGGTGAGCACAGAGGCTCCGGGACCAGGGACTGGGAGGAAGCTAAGCCACAGGGCCCGTCCAAGGTGGCGAGGGGCCTGAGCAGCTTGCCCTGGGATCCCGAGGGAAGGCTCTTGGAAGAGTAAAGAGGACTTGCCAGACAGGGTGACACTCTCCGGGATAGATGAAGTAGTTACACAAACACTAGAACATTTCCAGCGCAGTGGGACGGTGCTGTTCCTACGATGATTAGAGGACTCGTTAAAACGGTCACTTCCAGGCCCAAGAAAGTCAGAGGGGTCTGGCGCGGGGAGCGGAGATCGAGCCGATCTTTTCACGCTGTCGCCGAGTCCCCGTGGGGTCTGTGTGTCTCATCTGGGACAGCAGGGCATGGATTTGGGGTTCCTGATGGCAGGATGTGGGCTTCGTTGGGAGCTCCCCCTGTCCCACCCGGGGTAAGCCCTAGGATTCAGTCCCCCACCCTGTTTCACCCCTAAACCCCCGCACCCTTTGCTCACAGTGCCCTTGCTGGGTGCGTCCGCAGCCAGCAGTGGCGGTGGCCCTGCAGCCTGCCCCTGGGGGCCGATTGCACCAGCCCGGGAGCCACGGTGTCTGCGAGGAGCTGGGCTCCCCCGGGAGGCAGCCCCGGACGAGTTCTCACAAACAAGAGGCTCGAGCCGCCTCCCAGGGCAGCCAGGAGCCCAGCTCGGCTGACCTCTTCCCCCCTGGGCCTCAGTGGCTGTCCTGGCCGAAGCCCCAAGGGAGCTTTCCAGGGCTAAGAAGACCCTTCGGGAAAGCTCTTCCCACACCTGGGGACCCAGAATTATGTGGTGGGGAGCCACACCTGGGGAGCAGGGTTGAGGCTCTTTGAAAACAGCACCTCTCCTGGCAGCTGTGCTGGTAGCTGGTCTGGCCCATGACGTCCCAGGCCCTTGTTTGCCCAGCGGGGCCCATCGGGGCCTCTGGCCTCGCTGGGCCCCCCGGCTCCACCTTGGCTCTCTGTTGTCCACCCTGCCCCACCTCTGGCCTCCCCATGCCTGGGAATCGGCCGGCATTGGGCTACCAGAGGTCCTCAGGTTCGGAGGACCCAGCCCAGCTCCAGAACCACTGTTCCATAAGCTGCACAGCCCCG